TATTTTTTATCCAATCCCAGAGATTCCCCTCTTCCTGTACTCCCACCTCCTTAATTTTCCACCAATGGATTTCATGTAAACCCTGCTTAATCTCTTCCTTTTATTCTAAGGTATAAAATAAACTGCAAAAACCTCTGCAGCGTTTTCTCAATCTGTTGAAATTTTGCTTCCCAGCAACTGTCAGTTTGACTCAAAATAACTCAAGAGTTTTTAAAAAAATGGTTTGGCTTTGTTGATGATAGCCATTCTGACAGATGAGAGATGGTACTGTATTATCATTTTGATTTGCATGTCTCAAATGATTAGTGACTTTGAGCATGTTTTCATATGTCTCTTGGCCTCCCTTATGTCTTCTTTTGAAAAGTATCTATTTAGGTCCGTTGCCCATTTTTTGATTGGGTTGTTTATCTTCCTTTTGTTAAGTTGTATGAGTTCCTTGTAAATGTTGGAGATTAAACCCTTATTGGTGATAACATTGGCAAATATGTTCTCCCATACAGTGGGCTTTCTTGTTATTTTGTTGATGGTTTCTTTTGCTGTGTAGAAGCTTTTTATATTACTAATCATCCACGAGATGCAAATCAAAATGACAATGCGGTACAATCTCACACCTGTCAGAATAGCTATCATCAACAAATCAACAAATGACAAGGATGCGGAGAAAAAGGAACCTGGTGGGAATGCAGACTGGTGTAGCCACTGTGGAGAATAGTATGGAGTTTCCTCAAAAAACTAAAAATGGAACTCCTATTTGACCTAGTGATCCCACTTCCAGGAATATATCCCAAGAAAACAAACAAAACAAAAAAACCAATCAGAATATATGCAACCCTATGTTTGTAGCAGCACAATTTACCATAGCTAAGATTTGGAAACAGCCTAAGTGCCCATCAGCAGATGAGTGGATTAAAAAACTGTGGTACATCTACAAAATGGAATACTATGCTGTTGTAAAAAAGAAGGAATTCTTACCATTTGCAACTGCATGATGGAACTGGAGAGCATTATGCTAAGTGAAATAAGCCAGTCAGAGAAAGATAAATATCACACAATCTCACTCATTTGTGGAATATAACGAGCAATATAAACTGATGAACAAAAACAGATCCAGAGACAGAGAAGCATCGATCAGATAGTCAAACCTCAGAGGGAGGATAGGGGAGGGTGGGGATAAGGGGAAGAGATCAACCAAAGGGCATATATGCATGCATATAAGCCTAACCAATGGATACAGACACCAGGCAGGTGAGGGCATGAGTGGGGGATGTTGTGGGGGGGCAATGAGGGAATAAGGACACATATATAATACTTTAATCAATAAAGAAAAAGAAAAAAGCAAGGTACAAAAAGAAAATTTTTTTTAAATGGATTGGCTCACATGAATGAGAAGTCCACAGGCTGACTGGTTTCAGGTGCAACTTGATTCTACAACTCAATTTGTCATCAAGCATCCATATATTTATTTCTCTCTGCTATGCCTTCTTGTGTGTCTGCATCATTCTAAGTCTGGTTCCTCTCATGGTCCAGCACCTTCCTCTTGTCTAACAGGAAAGAGAGCATCAGCATTCTCAGCGAAAGTCCTAAGAGTCATTATATCAAACTGCCTTAGAGCCAATGCCCACCCTGACTCAATCTTGGAGTCCAAGGGATAAAATATACTGGATACCTAGGTTGTGTCACCTCTGAAGGCAGAGTGAAGTTAACTTCTCTGAAGCTTTATGGATTCCTAAAGAGAAATCGGTGCTATTGAGAAGGAGATGGCAGTTTATTTTTATTTTTTTTATTTTTATTTTTTTTAATTTTATTTTATTTTCCCCCTCCCTCCCTCCCACCCATAGGAGATGGCAGTTTAAAGAAACTAAATAATTTTAAAGAAATTTGAAATTAGATCTTTTCAATTTAAGTACATGTACTGAGAAAGCAAGCCCTAGAATAGTCAAATAATACCTTTTAAATACCTTTAATCATTTGTACTATTTTATCTTCTTATTTACTCATCTTTTATTAACACTTTATGAATGGCTTAGAGTTCCTACTTTTTCAAAGAAGATTATCCTCAAATTTCAATAGGGTCAGTATTAAAAATTAAGATATAGACCTATATTTATGGATAAAAGTTAATTATATATTATTAATGAAAAACTAGAGACCCGGTGCACGAAATTCATGCACTCAGGAAGGGGGCTCCTCAGCCCAGATTGTGAGGGTGCAGGCCAGGTTGAGGGATCCCACAGGTGCATGATTGGGGACAGGGAGGGACATAGGAGGTTGGACCACAGGAGGGCTCCAGGACATGAACAGCCCGTCTTGCTCTGTCGTGTTCGGCCAGACCTCAGCAGCAAGCTAACCTACCAGGCAGAGCATTTGTCCCCTGGTGGTCAGTGCACATCCTAGCAAGCAGTTGAGCAGCCTTAGCATATCATTAGCATATTACACGTTAATTGATTGAATGGATGACCAGACAACCAGACAACCAGACACTGAGCATATTAGGCATTTATATATAGGATGTTGCTAAAAGTCATGTGTAGAAAAGTCATGCTATTGTGTGATGTTATTTTTCTTAAATAGTCTTATTTACATAGAAAAAATTACATAGTAAAATGTTATCAATAGGTATTGATTTTTACTTCATTCCTTTCTAATATATGTGAATAGAAGTGAAGCAAAAATATTTACAGTTGTGAGTATATCAAACAGTTTATTCTTGTAATATTTTAATTATTGTATTATTGTTCATATGAATAACTGTAAGCTTACTTTGCCCAATCCTGTATTTTATAATTATTTATTACATTCATAATTATATATTTTTTAAATATATTTTATTGATTTTTTTACAGAGAGGAAGAGAGAGGGATAGAGAGTTAGGAACATCGATGAGAGAGAATCATCGACCAGCTGCCTCTTGCACACTCCCTACTGGGGATGTGCCTGCAACCAAGGTACATGCCCTTGACCGGAATAGAACCTGGGACCTTTCAGTCAGCAGGCCGACACTCTATCCACTGAGCCAAACTGGTTTTGGCCATAATTATTTTTTAAAAATTAGAAACTGAAATTGTGATTATGTTAAGTATTAGCCCCAGTTTAGTGATGTGGCCCAGTATACGTGACTTCATATTTGGCCTCTGATTTTCTTTTTAACAACTGGAAACAAAGGCAAAGTGAAAACAGGAGCAGAATGCATAACTTTTCTAGTTTGAGTTTCTGACCATTTTTTTCCTGCTTAGTTCTCAGAACCTTTAGACAGACAGCAGCAGAGCAAGGATGATGGACCAGATACAGAAGGTCACCAGCTTGAAAAGCCCTGGCTGCCTCCCCAGAGTGACCTTTCGTCCCCTAGTATAGCACTGGTCAGGCAGTTTGGACTCCCTGACCTTTCATTCCTGTAAATAACCTCTAGGCTTCAGCTGTATTTCAGCTCCAGGCTAGAAAAGCCGCAAAACCGGACAAGCAATGCCATGGTTGACCTCAGGATTAGCTGTGCTCAACAATGACCCCCTGTCCTGGTGCCAGCCAATCTATCAACAGGAACTACAACCCTGAAGGACATACTTGGAAAACTGCTGAATATTCTATTGAATCTTCCTCTGGGACCTCCCCTAAAAACTTAAAACCCTTAGGACGGATCCAGTTGCTCTCCCTTCTGGGAGCACCCCATGCCTTTCTGGTTCCCCAGGCACTTACCATTACCTTCCTCACTCCCAAGCTCCAAGGGCCTTCCTTTGCCTCTATTACTTGTTTCCTAAGCCCATTTCTTCTATGAATTACTTCTCCTACCTCTGTGATTTTATAAACAAATGTTCTCTTATAGTTTGAGAATTCTTTCCTAGCCAGAACTCAAGTACCTAGGTTGCTGAACCAAGGTTTGGTCAGATGCCATAGGTCAACACCTGGTGTGCTTCCCACTGCCCACACCACTTCGGTCAACACTTAGCTTACTGTAATTTTTCAGTTTATATTCTTGTATCTTTACACTAAAACCACCAAGATGATAGGAAGACACCGAAGTTGCAAGACAAGAAAGTTAAAGATGCAAAGCAAACTAGAGGCTTTACAAAGGACAGATGCTTGTGGAGATATTAAGTGGGATCCGGTTGTACATATTTTTAAGTTTGAAATAATTTTCCTTCCAAATGACTAACTCAAATACAGGATTCCTTCTGGTTTCAAAATGGAGTTCTATACCCTAAGTCTTCACCTAACATTACGGATAGGTTCTTGGAACTGCAAGGTAACAACATATAACAAAACCAGTTTTACCATAGGCAAATTAACATAATAAACGAGTTAAAATCTTGGAATTCCAGCCAAAATTGGTTTGGCTCAGTGGTGGAGCGGCAGTCTGCGGACTGAAAGGTCCCAGGTTCGATTCCCGTCAAGGGCATGTACATTGGTTGCAGTCACATCCCCGGTAGGGGGTGTGCAAGAGGCAGCTGGTCAATGTTTCTCTCTCATCAACATTTCTAGCTCTTTATCTCTCTCCCTTCCTCTCTGTAAAAAAAAATCAATAAAATATATATTTTCTTAAATCTTGGAATTCCATCAACATTAGAACAAACCACGTGAAAGGAAAGGTGCCACTGGAGGATCTGCCGTAGTTGGGACCCCTTCATTCCAAGAAGCTCTGGAAGTTTCCCACCAACATACAACCAGTTTCCTCTTGGCAGACCAAGGGCACGCATGTTGTCCCCCTCAAAACATAAACACACAGGGACTGGGAGCGTATTTAAATTAGGCACAGTGCTGCTAAAGCTTCACAGACATTTAAATCTCTGATTTAGCAAAGTCAAGGTCACACTGCCCTGGCGAAGAGGAAGGGGGTATTCTGAACCAGGTCCGGTTCTAATTTAAATCCTCGCGTTTAAACTCTCTGCTACAAATAGCACTGGGTTAACAAAGGGAGGAACTGGCGGGTCACACCACGCTGGGGTTAGAGGGAAAGGCTAACGGCCTCTGAAGCTGAGTTTAGGAAAACACCAAACGAGGATTATTACCCGCTGCGGCCGCCATCTTGCGGGAGCCGGGCGGCCGGAAGTCCCGCCTCCTGCGTCTAGCCCCGGAGGCAGGGGCGGAGCCTGAGGGTGGGCCCGGAGGCTCGCGGCGGAGGGCGGGGCCTGTGAGCGGGGCGGGGCCTGGAGGGGGCGGGGCGGGGCGGGGCGGGGCGGGGCCGCAGAGCCGGCCCGGGAGGAGCTGACCCCGCCGCCACCGCTGCTCGGCACCTCACTTTCGTGGAACGTGACTGAGCTCCGGCAGCCGGCAGCCCGCGGCTCTCTGCGAGGGGCGCTGTGCGGAGGAGATGACGGCGCTTTCCTCCCGGCTGCGCCCCCGCGAGCACCGACGGCCTTCCGCGCGCGGCCCCGGGGCTGCAGACGGAGCAGGTGAGATGAGATGGGTCCCCGGGGCCCCCGCCTCCTGGGTCTGAGTAAGGTGGGCAGCGCCCAGCCTTGGGCGCCCAGGCCCGAAGCCCTCTGCCTGTGCCCGCCCGCCCCTGCCTCCGCGGCGCCCGCCTTTAGGGCGTGGGGGGCCGCCGGGGGAGGCTGACGCAGGGGACGGGGCGGCTTGCTTGTCCCTCCTGGTGACAGACAGCATTGCCATCCCCTAGTTCCAGGAGCGCCCTGTTCCACGCTGTCATTCTCGGATTCTTCCCTGTATCCCAGGGGGCGCCCTCAGGGTCTGCCCTCCTGGGACCTTCTTGGAGAGCCGCCCCAAATTTCCTCCCTCACCCCCTTTCAAAGCGTGCGGGTTACTGTGACGCCGTGACGCCCATGCCCAGGGCAAACTGAAGGACCAACTTGTGACCCCAGCCGCAGACCCCTCGCTGCCTTTCCGCCCCCACTGCTGCCTGGCGGGCATGGGGTGGCCGCGGCTGTTTGCTGGCGGCCTATATGGTGAGCCACTCTCCACACCCTTATCTCCGAGGGCCAAAGTCTAAAGGAAGAGCGGGGCCCGGTGCTCCCCACGCTGGGTCTCCAGGAAGGGCGTTTGGTTCCCAGCCCGCGGTGGGCGGTGTGGCTGTGGCTGTGGAAGAGTGCCTTCACAGGACCGCACTATTGTGCTTCTCCATGGGATACAGGGGGTGGAGGGACAGCCGAGAGTTGAAAGCTTCCTCTTTAAAATTCATCAGAAAACCCTCCTCCCGGCTTTGACTGAACAGCAATGGAAGTTCCAGTGGTTTTCTGGTGTTATCTAAACAAAGTACCAGTATGCCTTCGCCTGAAGTGGTTTGTATGTAGCATCTGTCCACAGCTGCCCCTTTTACTGACAGGTCAGCGTGTGTGTTACACAATAAGCTTTGTTTTAATGAGATGAAAAAACTGGATGTAATTTTTTTAAAAAAAAAAAAACACCCATTCCTGTGGTTCCTGTTTATTTTAAAAGAATGCTTTAGAAAGCATATTTTCCTCCCATGTGGGCCATGGTGGGAAAGGGGGGGGGGGGAGGGTTAAAATAAGATAAAACTTTGTAAGTCCTTTTTAGTTATTTTGATTTCCCCTCAACTAGCAGGTATTCCTTTTATAATGTTGAGGAACATTGAAAGAAACCTCAGGGAAATTTACTTTTCAGTTTTTCTCTTAATTTTCAACTAACTGAGAGTTTAGCCTGGACATCACTACAACTATTTGACCATCACCTTGAGAAAAATGAAGAGCTCTCCCTTTCCTGATAACAACTATTTAAGATCAAACTAAATTCAGTTGAACTTCTCTTAACTGTTTGGTATAAAATAAAAACGAATAAACTTATGACCCATTCTGTTCTTCTATTTTAGTTGAAGGATCTTTAATTCCAAATATTGTTTGAAGAACTGGAATTAGGACAATACCATATACCAATATTTAATTTGTTCTTCTTCTTATTATTATTAGGACTACAGCTCCTAATAGTAATTGCTACCACTTAAAAAAATATATTGGCACTATTACATCCCCCCACCCCCTTGACCCACCTTCGCCCAGCCCTCCTCCCCCTCCCCTGGCCTTCACACTGTCTCCATGGGCTATGCATATGTGTTCTTTGGCTAATATCCACCTTCTTTCATACAACCACCGCCTCCCATTTCCCTTACCTCTGAACTCTGGCAGTCTGTTGCATGTATCCAAGCCTCTGGTTCTGTTTTGTCTATCAGTTTATTTTGCTCATTGGATCCCACATATAAGTGCGATCATATGGTATTTATTTTTCTCTGTCTGGTTTATTTCACTGAGCATAATAATCTCCAGGTCCATCCATGCTATCGCAAAAGGTAAGAGTTCCTTCTTTTTTGATAGCCACATAGCAATCCATTGTGTAAATATGCCACAGTATTTATACCCACTTCTCTACTGATGGGCACTGGGACTGGTTTCAAATATTGGCTATTGTAAATAACACTGCTATGACCATAGGGGTGTGTTTATTCTTTCAGGATTCTTAGGACATATTCCCAGGAGTGGGATCGATGGATCAAAGATACCATTTCTTGAGGTCCTACTTTGTGATAAACTATGATAAACTTAGTATAAAATCTCCAATCCTCACAATATTCTTCTAAGGAGATTTTTACTCTAATTTTATAGTTAAAGAAGCTAAGCTTCTGAGAGGCTAGGTAACTTGCCCAAAAAGTTGGTTAGAGATGAGGTCCAAGATTGGGTTCATGTCTTTTGGACTCTTTTCACTGAACAACTGTTAGTTTAGTTAAAACTATTGGTTTAAAAACTATTGAAATGCATTGATAATGTGAGTGTGGTACAAATAAGGGTTAGCGAGCAGTATCAGTTATTAATACTCCAGTCAAAGAAATACATATAGGGAACTTGGAAAAAAATAACAGAAGACTGGGCTACTTTATCACCTTATTCCTTTTTTTAAAATATATATTATTGATTTTTACAGAGAGGAAGGGAGAAGGATAGAGAGTTAGAAACATCCATGAGAGAGAAACATTGATTAGCTGCCTCCTGCACACTCCCTACTGGGGATGTGCCCACAACCAAGGTACATGCCCTTGACCAAAATCAAACCTGGAACACTGGAGTCTGCAGGCTGATGTTCTATCCACTGAGCCAAACCAGTTAGGGCTATCACCTTATTCTTTAGCACTGGCTTTTAATGGCTCCAAATGTTTGACACCTTTGCTTAATTGTTTACCAGCTCCTACTTCAACTATGGGTACCTGTACCAACCAGTAGCTTTCCCAGGATATAATTGGACGCTGACTTGCTAAACTTCAGGTATGTGAATATTGTAGGTTTTGTGTATATTGACCACTCCTGTCTAATCCCGGTAGAAAAATACTTGTCCTGATCCAGATTAAATGAAAATTTTTAAGTGGTTCCATTTATACCAGGGTAGCATAGAGAAAATTATCTCGTTCACACCGCTGAGCATCAGTTATTGCTGGTCTCTGGCTTGCCACCAGGGTCTTCTTAATGTGATGTAGGTGTTTGAGAACTTAACCTGTACATGTTGGGAATGAGCTTTTCTACTTCCTACCTTATAGAAGGTCACTTTAGATGATTAACCCAGAATAATTATTTATAAATTGGCAGTTGTTGCCATGTTATAATAATTTTAAGTTACTAATAAGAGCTGATTAGTCGCAGTTGTCTAAACTCCATGCTCATGTGTCCCTGGCAGCAGGAGAGGGGTCTGGTTATAATATTAGCATTCCTTGCGTTAGCATTTTTTGAACATCGTTAGAACATTTTACCACACATTTGTGTTCTTTAACATTTACTGAACAGCTTTAGAACATTTTAGAACACATTGTGTGGTCTTGAGCCTATTACTATAGTGAAAAACTTAAAATACTTTATCATCAAAAAAAAAAAAGAAAGAAAGAAAAGAAAGGGAGAGGTTTCTGTCCTTGAACTAAATAGTTCCTAAAAGAGAACATTGATTCACTAAAAAATGAAGTAAATATACACATATGGAGTGTCTTATGTGCCATGCACTATTTTAGGTGGTAGGAACATAACAGTAAGAAAAAACATGCACAGACTCTGTTTCTGTAGCACTTGAAGTCTACCAAAGGAGATAGACATAAAACAAATAGCCACTCTAATGCAGAGTATAATTATAAAATGAGAAAAATGGCCTAAAGGTAAGGAACATGAGTATTTTTGAGAAAGAACCGAGGCCTGCCTGTGGTGTTAGAGTTGCTACCTGAGAGAAGCAACTCCTGGACTCTATGATTTAGAGGGTGAGGAGGGGCTAGTATGTAGGGAGGGGTGGGTGGGTAGAGAAGAGAACATTTAAGAGTTAATTGCATGTGCAAAGTCCATGTGGCACAAAGGGACTGGGACTTTCAAGAAGGCCAATGTGTGGCTGGTAAAAAAGGAACTAAGAGTAGGTTGGTGGAATGCCATCATTTCTTGTTTCATTCTCTTAATATGCTACCAAATTATATTTAACTTTGGTTAAGGGATTACTTTGTTCCAGATGTGATTGTAAGGACGTTACTTGAGTAATTTCAAGTTTCTATTAGGTGGGTGCTATGATACAGATGATGAAAGTGACACCTAAAATACGTTACTGGTTTAAAGGTGATAAGTGATACTTGACTATACCCTTCTTCCTATCCTGTAGTCAAGTATGGATGGCCACAGGCTGGAAAGGCCCCTTCTGTCTAGTGTATCTTCTTGACATGACCCTGAGAATTACTGAAATTTCTGGAGAAGTTGAATGCAGGTGAATATTCAGCAGAGACTCTGTGAGCTCCATGCTCTTAATCATTAGGTGGAGCTCAAGGGTGGACCACCGGAAAGGACCCCGGGACACCCCTGCAGCTGTATTTCTCAGGTCTGATACTGAATATAGGACAGCAATGCAAATACTTCGCATGGATCCACCTTTGAAAGTAAAGAGGTTACTGTTCGTGAGGAAACACTCCCCCGACCCCCACCGCCCTTTTATTACTTGCATTTTCCTCTGATGGTAGTTGGAGAAACGTATGTGTTATTTATTTGGCCATTTAATATGACTAGGTTTGCCAATGTATTCTTTCAACTAGAATTTTTCCTACTGATTATCACACTGAATCTTTCTTCTTTCTTTCCAGAGATCTGGTTGGAGTTGGAGGGTGAAAGAAAATGAATTCTTTTTCTG